GACGAAGAATCATATTGATTTTCAGCAATTTCCAATAATTACTGCCAGAGTTATGGCCCTTGATCACTTAGAAAAATCTTGTGGACGCTCTAGAGGCTAAAGTTAATATCCGATTGACTTTAAATTGATACACAGTGTTTAAGGTCATGAGACGAAGAAGTCTATTGATTTTCATCAATTACCGATAATTACTGCCAGAGTTATGGCCCTTGATCACTCTGAAAAATCTTGTGGGGGCTCTAGAGGCTAAAGTTAATATCCGAGTGACCTTAAATTGATACACAGTGTTTAAGGTCATGAGACGAAGAATCCTATTGATTTTCAGCCATTTCCGATAATTTTTGCCAGAGTTATGGCCCTTGATCACTTTGAAAAATCTTGTGGACACTCTAGAGGCTAAAGTTAATATCCGATTGACTTTAAATTTATACACAGTGTTTAAGGTCATGAGACGAACAAGTATATTGATTTTCAGTAAATTTTTATGACTTGAACAGCTAAATCCATGATGTTAAAAGTTTTGTATACTAAACGTTAGCATGGGGCAGAACTTTATAAAAACCAAACAAATTCTTATGGTTTTCTGATAATTAGTTAATGAGTTGTTACTCTTAATCAGATTTTAATGTATTATAAATGTGTCATTACCGAAAAAAGTAAAAATATGCGACAACTCTTGTTGACTGCCCAGACGATGTAGCTGCTGTGGGCGTATGTTTCGTTGCCTGGCAACTTATCTTTTTAAAAAAACGACAACTTTGGTGATTTTGGGCCAAAATAGCTTTAATCTCTAAGTCACAACCACTTTTCCAATAAAACCGAAGAAATCGTATCGATCCATGATGTAGTTTCTGAGATGCAGTCAAATTGGAAAAAAAAAATAATAATAATAATAAGAATAATCTTAAGAAAAACAATAGTGTTTCACACAAGCTACACAGTGTGAAACCCTAATAAGAACTAGAACTGCGAAGCAGTAATGACGGGTTTCACGTGTGCCACATTACCCTTGAACTTATGTCACTTTCGGTGCCAAAGTTAATATCCGATTGACTTTAAATTGATACACAGTGTTTAAGGTCATGAGACGAAGAAGCCTATTGATTTTCATCAATTTCCGATAATTACTGCCATAGTTATGGCCCGTGATCACTCTGAAAAATCTTGTGGGGGCTCTAGAGGCTAAAGTTAATATCCGAGTGACCTTAAATTGATACACAGTGTTTAAGGTCATGAGACGAAGAATCCTATTGATTTTCAGCCATTTCCGATAATTTTTTTCAGAGTTATGGCCCTTGATCACTTTGAAAAATCTTGTGGACGCTCTAGAGGCTAAAGTTAATATCCGATTGACTTTAAATTTATACACAGTGTTTAAGGTCATGAGACGAACAAGTATATTGATTTTCAGTAAATTTTTATGACTTGAACAGTTAAATCCATGATGTTAAAAGTTTTGTATACTAAACGTTAGCATGGGGCAGAACTTTATAAAAACCAAACAAATTCTTATGGTTTTCTGATAATTAGTTAATGAGTTGTTACTCTTAATCAGATTTTAATGTATTATAAATGTTTCATTACCGAAAAAAGTAAAAATATGCGACAACTCTTGTTGACTGCCCAGACGATGTAGCTGCTGTGGGCGTATGTTTCGTTGCCTGGCAACTTATCTTTTTAAAAAAACGACAACTTTGGTGATTTTGGGCCAAAATAGCTTTAATCTCTAAGTCACAACCACTTTTCCAATAAAACCGAAGAAATCGTATCGATCCGACATGTAGTTTCTGAGATGCAGTCAAATTGGAAAAAAAAAATAATAATAATAAGAAGAATAATCTTAACAAAAACAATAGTGTTTCACACAAGCTACACAGTGTGAAACCCTAATAAGAACTAGAACTGCGAAGCAGTAATGACGGGTTTCACGTGTGCCACATTACCCTTGAACTTATGTCACTTTCGGTGCCACATTACCCTTGAACTCATATCACTTCAAGTACCAATGGAACTGATAAACAGATTTCCACACAAACATTGTAGACGTGTTATAAAATGGACGCAGAATCAATCAAACCCGGCAATATCAATTCCATTCATACATGTGTTACATATGTCAAAAAAGTGATCCTGACAAAATTTGTTAACAACTTGCCGCTAAGTTAGCTGACTTTCTAATGGGAAATTAAAATGCGAAAAAAATTTAGAAAGTGGTCCTGACAAAATTGGTTATTTCTCGACAAGCTATTTTTGGACATCTATATGATCGTATTGATTCAATCTATATGTCCATTGGAGTTAAATATCATAATCTTAAATGAATGATAAATATAACTCACTTCAAAAAAATGTTTGTTTTGGAGGCTAAAAATACAGTTTTTGCCAAATTGACATTACTTCCGGGGATAATGAAAATGTTAAATTAATTCTATGAAATTATAAATGTCATAAGGCATCACACGGTGAAAATTTTATGAAAATCAAATAATAATTGCCACTTTTATAGACCAAAAACCTTGAAAAATGACTTATAGAAAATCGTCAATTTCTCTGCAACCGTACAAGTTAGAAACCCTTTTGTGGTATCTGTATGATAGTATGGGTTCATTCTGTTTGTTGATTGGAATTAAATATAATTTGAAAAACATTACAAATCAGACTCATTTGAATGAAATATCTGTTTTGAATGCTAAAAATACAGTTTTTGCCAAAAGGACGTTACTTCCGGTGACAGTAAAAGTGTTAAGTTACTTGTATGAAATCGTAAATGGCATTAGGTATCACACACTGGAAATTTTATGAAAATCGAATAATAATTGACACTTTTATGGACCAAAAACCTTGAAAAGTTACCTGTTGAAAATCGTCTATTACTTCGCAACTGAACAAGTTAGAAACTATTTTGTGATATCTATATGATCATATGGGTTAATTCTATTAGTTGATTGGAATCAAATATCAAAATTTTAAACAAATAACAAATACGACTCATATGAATAAATTACTGGTTTTGAAGGCTATAAATACAATTTTTGGCCAAATTACGTCATTTTCGGTGACATTGAAAATGTTGAATTGGTTTGACCTAGTTAAAATTGACATTACGCATCAAATGGTGTCACTATTATGAAAATCAAATAATAATTGACTCTTTTACAGGCAAACTAGCGTAAAAAGTGACTCATGCAAAATTGCCCATTTCTTGGCAACTGCTCATATTACAAACTAATTTTCACATACATTCTCTTCATATGGATGATTGCTACTAGTTTATGAAAGTTGTGAAGAAATATTTTAAAATATGAAAAGCCTGAATGGGTTGTGAATAGCTCATTTTTTATCCTTTTTTCACCTTTAAATCGAAATGATCCGAAAACGAAATAAAAATTTTAAAAAATGAGCGCAATGATTTCTACACCTTAACAGGGCACACCCTTTCAGTCATACCAGATTTGAAAAAAATAATATTTGCTTTCAAAAAGTGGTACCGAAATGTCAAAATTACAGTTTTTGCTAAATTTACATCACTTCTGTTGCCGAAAGGCAACTTTAACGGTAACAAAAAAAATGACATTTTGGACCACGGAGCATATGAACTTTGTTTTATAATCGAACAATAAATAATTAATCCAGGACCGAAAAACTAAATTAGCCAATGGGGGTCAAGGAAATATACGGTGACAAAAATGTTGCAATTTTTGGTCAAATCAGATGACTCTTTAACCCTAGGTAAAATGCCACATAAAAATCTTCATTAATAAAAAATAATTTCGTAAAAATTTAAATTTTCAAAATTTGGCGCCTCCGAACATTCATCGAAAATAAAAAATCTTAAAAAACTGTAGCTATATGCCTTGTCAAAATGTATCAAATATTACAATCCGACAATTATTGATAACATTACGGCAAAATTTCGAAAAGTGACAACTTTGGTGATTTCGGACATTTCGCATTGTCGCAGAACGTTAGAAATAGCTTTAAAATTTAAGTCAAACCCACTTTCCCAGTAAAATCGAAGATATCGAATCGATCCAACAAGTAGTTTCTGAGATATGCTCAAATGGAAAAATAATAATAAGAATAATAATCCGAACAAAAACAATAGTGTTTCAAACAAGCTACGCAGTGTGAAACCCTAATAATCCGAACAAAAACAATAGTGTTTCACACAAGCTACGCAGTGTGAAACCCTAATAAAGATTTTTTGCTATTTATAAGACTGCAAAACCCATACTTGGCATTTCTGTGACTCTGGGCGGATCAATCAGTCTAATGTTTTATATAAGTATGTTTAATCACAAAGTAACCCTAGTGTTGTTTTACACTAATACAAGGTAGAGTGTGGTCACTAGCCATTGTGAAGCGAAGAGAGGGTCCTATGAAAATATTGTTACATTTGTAGATGGAAATTGGGATAAGTTGACTTTCCGCATCAATGAGATATAAAGTATTAAAGTGGTTGGTATATTGTATATTTAGGCACTAAATAACCCCATAGACAAAAAGCAGGTAAAATCCTAAACTTGAGCCTTATCACTTCCTGCACGGCTGAATGGTTAGCGTGCGCGCGCTGTATCATAAAGTCTGTCATTGAGTCGACTGGCGTGGTTTTGAATGCCCGGTTGTACGTGACAAGGAGTAGGGTCGTCTGTCCAACCTCGCGGGTTTTCTCCGGGTCCTCCGGTTTCCTCCCACTGCTAAAGACCTCTACGCGCAAGCGAATGATTGAAATAAAATTAAACCATATGTTAGTCCCGAAATGACGTTAAACCTCATTTCTCTCTCTCTCTCTCTTTTACTGAGTCTTTAGTGTTTTTTTAAATGCTCCCATTACATACAAAACAATATGTATGCAACGACCCTTGTGGACTTCTTCTACGACATATGTTTTTGTTGCCTGTCAACAGACCAGACTTCTTATTCTTCGGAACAGTTAATAATTCTATATTGACTAGTTGTATAAACTAAACTACAGTTTATATGCAGTTTTGTGTTTACAGGTTTCTATTATACCAAGAGGAAAAGGTTTAGGATATGCACAATATTTACCGAAAGAGCAGTTTTTATACACCAAAGAACAGGTAATTACATCGTTTTAAGTAACATAACCAGATGTTCCAATTGTTGCAATTACCCCAGATCCATTCACTTGATTGATAGTAATTTCCCGTTTGTGGACCATCTAGAGGTCACAATTTTTATTCGCCCACATTGAAATGTGGTCGTATATAGTCGTCGCCCCTGTCTGTCCGTCCGTCCGTCTGGTGTCCATAGGCTAAAATTAATATCCGATTGACTTAAATGTCACGGGGTCGTTATGAAAAACACGCCAAAGACATGTAAGATTCCTTATTTCAGGTTACTGAATATAATAAATATATGATCTTAAACACTGTAAACCTTGTATCGTCAAATAAGGGGTGTATAGCGCTAAAAAGTTTGCATATAGTTTAATTTCAAAACATCATTTGATATTGATAAAAATTGTTTGGAAATTACAAAAATCGTTCAATTAGTACTATGGTTTAATTTAATGGTACACCGTTTAATTTCTCCGAGAGGGGTTTAGAAATGGCCGACGCGTTGACTTATCTAATGCTTTTATTTATTAGAAGAGCAGTCCAATTTCCCGAGATGCGTTTAAAAATCAACACCTGTTAATTTATGTACTATGTTTAACTATTAGATGAATCGTTTATTTTCCCGCAAGCCGCTTATCCGATCGGTTCATTTTGATTACGATTATTTGCATATGAAGTGCGAATAAAAATGGTGAATATAAAAAAAAGCACACCCATAGATGCTCACCTTACCTTGGTCGTAGTATTATTATCCATTATCCATTCAAAATAGTAATTCCGCCATTGACAAATACATCAAAAATCGGTAAATCACGTCCGAGGTAATTATACATTTGGAAATCCGTAAATCACATCCCATTCGTTCGTTCCTGGAGTTTTACGTCCAGTTCCACCTGAGGTGATATCGTAGACAAGTCACACACATCCCAGGTAATGTATGTATGTAACTGTAGCTTTTTTATATACCTGATGTAAATAAATCATATATTTACTAAACTGATCTGCTGTTATCACTAAGATAGTGCTACACCACTGCTCAAACAGTCCGAAGGCGTCTGGCTGCCCTTGGGTTACGCTGCTGTCGACCTTAACAAGGTCAAATCCTTTTGCATCGTCATTGACTTGCCAGACAGCAATGGGCCGCAAATCAGGGATATCTGCACAACACACCATGGCGAAATGTCATCTTCTCGGCTGAATCCTGATTCACGTCACCGTATCTACCGACGTTGACATGAATGCTTTGCTCGTAACTGCGTGCTGGAAAGGGATCGTTTCGGAGAAAATGGTGTCGGGGTTTGGGCCGCTATCAACGTCAACTTCCGGTCCCAGTTTGTGGTGGTCCAAGGCAATCTCAATGCTCAACATTATGTTGACACCATCCTTCGTCCGGTGTTGCTTCCATTGCTGGTTCAACATTGCGTCCGCCGACAGATGGTTTTTCAGCATGACAACGCCCAACCCCACACTGCCAGGTTGACAAGAGACTTTCTGAACAATCATCATGTCCGTGTTATGGATTGAATCGCTATGTCTCCTGACATGAACCCGATCAAACACCTTTGGGATGAACTTGGACGACAGGTTTGAACTCAAGTCGTGCCACCACGAACTGTTGCAGAGTTGGCACAGGCACTCCAAAATCATTGGCAAACAATCCCACAACCTGTAGTGAGACATCTGTGTCAGTCCATACCAAGTCGACTTCAGGCATGTGTAAGAGCTTAGGGTGGACATACCTGATATTGTAGGGAATTCACAGATTATCCACAGATGCTTGTTATCTCGATTTTGTCAATTGTTATGTACATTTGTTAAAAGTTGTTGCAGTAAATAATGGCTTTGAGTGTATAAAGATCAAAATAATTTAAATCTTGAAAATAGAGTCAGACATCTGAAATTGAACTATGTTCACAAAATCTTTCATAATGGGTCTCCGGTGTACATGAAAGCCAATTTTTGCATAGTCAGGGATGCTCATCAACATAGTATAGATCAAGCATTTATAATTATGTTGTACCAAAATGTAAAATTAATACCCAATATTCAACTTTCTACTATTCAAGTATTCAGGCCTGGAATGAACTTCCAAACCAACTTAAATCAATAGAGAACATTGTCACTTTCAGTGCTGGACTGGGCCCACCTGTCCGTGACAGGTGAGCCTAAATTCATATAAAAAAGTGGGCCTAGAAAGAAAGGAGAGGGGGAGGAAAGAAAAGAAAGAAGGAAGGAGAGGACAGGACACAGGACAGGAGAAAAATATCTCAAATTCATTTAATGATAGTGCTCTTAGGTCATTCTGTTATCTAATTGTATCAGGAAATCAAAAATTTGCCTTCCTCTGCTTTGCTCTGAAATGCTCGAAAAATGGGTTTGCCGTTTGTCATTTTTCAAAATTTTTCTGGGGGAAATACCCCCGACCCCTCCTTCAGCGTGTACTTGTGTGGGCCTTGAATGACCTGACAGTCCGGCACTGGTCACTTTTAAGAAAAAGGTTAAACAACACTTTCTAGCAAAACAAATACAAATGTCATAGTTTGTTTACGTATGTATACCCCAATGTCTTTGATACCTCTTTGTATTTCACATCCCTTATGGTGCACACACACTTCACTATTTATTGTCATATGTCGCCCTTCATCTTTCATAAATGAAACTGCCCCTCTATGATGACATGACCTGATCTTCATCCAAGGACTCGATTGGAAATAAATCTAGTTTTAATTGAAGCAGTTGCCCAGCACCTCCAGTCCAATACAGGCCACAAAATCCATTCGTCTAAGACCCTAGCACTAAACCAACACAACAAAAAGACACGGAAAATCATGGAAGCAATACATATCAGGAGATCCAAACCAGACCTCAATCGCGACACAGAAATATTCCTCCCAAGAGCCTATGATGAACTAATTCTTAATGGATGTGTACATGCCTAGACTTCCATACGTGCTCAAGTTTACTCAGTTCACGTATCATGTGTATTACTTGTTAATTCTCATTATCCATATGTAGAACTAATTTTAATAAATGTGTGTCTAATGGGAAGGAGTGTGTAGGACATAATTACTTAGGACATTGTGGATAAGACTGTGGTGTGGCTTTCCAATATTTATAATTTACCATTATATCCCACTTATTTATGGTCATTTATGTAATTATCCTTAGTAAACAGTTAAGTGTCTCTTGTAGGCATATATGTTTGTGTGAGTCTGTCGGATGGAAGAGTGTAGGACCATCATTACACTCTTACTTAAGAGCATGCTAGTTGTGCTGTGATGTGTGCATTTTAATACTAATATTTTGTAATTCACTTAAATATGGCTTAACCACTTAATCCCTATGTAGTTTACTACTTCTCTGATGTTTTCGTAACATGTATGGTTTCCCTTTTGTTTGGTTTAATGGTATTTTTACCCCTATTTTCAGCCCTTTACTATTCCCTTGATGTACCCTCACCTAGCCAATCACATCATGTATGGTTTCTCATTTGTCATGATTGGTTGTCTAATTAAAATTATTTACCCCTATAATCACCTCGAAACGTTGCCCAAATAAATCAGTAATTGTTCTTCCATAAGTATGTGTTATAGTTTATTGCTCTATCCAGTTACTAAATGCCTCTAAAAGATCACAATTTTTATCCGATTTTGATGAAACTTGAAGCGTATGATTATAACCCAAAGATCCTCGTTCCTTTCGATATTTGCGCATATCAGACCGTAACTTCCAGAATTATGGCCCTTGACTGTACGAAAAATTGCGTTTTTAGCTTGTGGTCCCTCTAGTGGTCACAATTGTTATCTAATTTAAAAAAACGTTCGAATATATCACTGTTACACCGTATTGTTGGTTTTGTTCGAATTTCATGAAAATCAGACCAAAACTGCCAGAATGGAAACCACTGCAAATTAATAATCCTTGGGTATATTGCTCTAATCACAATCAATGAATGGAAACCACTGCCAATTAATTATCCTTGTGTATATTGTTCTAATCACAATCAACGGAGGATCAACATCGAACAGATTAAAAGCTGAAGAATGAGTTCGTGAGAGAACCATGCAAAATTTAAAAATACTGGCACTTAAGCGGTGTCGGGCGATTTTGACCAAACTTTGCAGATTTGGTCATTGGGTACCCCATATACCCCACATGAAATATGAGGGTCACGAGCCTTGTAGTTTTGGAGAGCCAGCCATGGCCATTTTAGAGTTAAAAAAATGTGATTTTTTTTACAAAAAATCCCTAAATTCAAATATTTCCCATAAATTGCCTATTGATTTTTTGATTTTTTAAAATTATTTTTTTATGAATGATCTTGTCTACTACTTCTATATATATGACTATAAAATTTTTCCGAAACCATTTTAGGTCATGAGGAATTTATTTTGAGACGTAGTTTTTATACGCTTACATTTTCATGTGTACGTACATTGTCGTCGCCCCTGTCCGTCCGGACATCCGTCCACAATTGTTTGTGGACACTCTACAGGTCACAATGTTTATCCGATTTCAGCGAAACTTGAAATATAGGTTTATCTCCCTAAGATCTCGGTTTCTTTCGATATTGGCATGTATCCGACCGTAACATCATGGATTATGGCCCCTGATTGTACGAAAAATCGCGTTTTTAGCTTGTGGACCCTATAGAGGTCACAATTTTTATCTGATTTTGTTGAAATTTGGAATGTAAATTTATAACCCGAAGATCTTGGTTCCTTTCGATATTCGGTCATATCGGACCGTAACTTCCTGAATTATAGCCCCTGATTGTACGAAAAATCACGTTTTTAAGCTTGTGGACCCTATGGAGGTCACAATTTTATTCTGATTTAAAAAAAAGGTTTGAATATATCACCATTACACCTTAATGACGGTTGAGTTCGAATTCCGTAAAAATCGGACCAAAACTGCCAGACGAAATGGTTGCCATTCGTTCTCAAATAGCGTAAAAATATGGTATATCAAGGTTGTGGCCCCTCTAGAGCTCACAATTT